TACGTGGAAATCACGGTTTCCACAAAAATATGAAGCAGCAGAACAGTTTACAACATTGATAATAATCATAAATGTTTCTTGAGCATCGAATCATCATATTAGAGTGATTTCTGAAGGATCATGTGACACTGAAGACTGGAGTAATGATGCGGAAAATTCAGCTTTGATCACAGGATATAAATTACACTTTACTATATATTCATATAGAAAACAGTTATTTTAAATTGTAATAATATTTCACATTTTTACTGTATTTTTGATCAAATAAATGCAGTCTTGGTGAGCAGAAGAGACTCTTTCAAACTCTCCCAACCTCAAACTGTGTGTATGTATTATGTAGATCTCAACGATGTAACTTTGGTGAAACTTTATAAAACAAAACCAGTCAGCACTGGCTAATCTAGTCGAGACCAGTATGAAATCAGACATGCATTCTCAGTTCAAGCCCTCAGAGAAGCTCTGGGTCCCACAGGAAATCAGCCCTTTTCAATCCCAGCATGCTCCAGTCCTGCTAACAACAATCCCCCAGCACAGATCAAACTGCGAGCATCAGGCCGACTCGTCTCAGTGACTGCGGGAGCTCGCTTTGCTCCTGTTTCTGAGCTCGGGTCACTCCAGCATCACATCAGAGCAATTTCACACACCCAAAAACAATATTTTTGGTTTTATTTAAAGACCCACTCCGATGAAAATAATGTTTTTCTAGGTGTTAACATGTTCTTGTGGCATTTTTCTTATGTTAGAGGACATATCTTGAGAAAAATAAGCTCAAAGTTGTATTTCTGAGTATTTCTACATTCAAATGGCTGTGAATCAGTAGCAGACGCTAAAATGCCGTTTAAAATAGACTGGAGTTGTGACGTAGTAACTCCACTGGGCGGGGCCACAAGCTTGTTAAAATTAATCGAAAGTGCCCCTCTCAAACAAATATCAATGATAATATTGTTTTCAATAAAACAAAATGCATTTGATTATAATTAACATGACAATGTGACAAAATTCACGTTTACTTGTATGTTTCTGTCGGTTTGAGCTGTCGTTGCCATGACTCGTTGCTATGGGTTGCGTCACTTGCGTGTCTTGCATCGGACTCGACTGAAGGGGTCAGTCTCCGTTTTCGAGGCCGAGGGTCAGTAATGTGGACGGCAGGAGCGCATAAATAATCGTTGCAAAAGTTATGCGTTTTAAAACGAAAACGCACTGTACGGCTGGATAGCTCCAATATTGCTCTCAATTTTTGTTGCACCGGTAATGACAGGTTGGGGGTGTAAGCTAGCGGGAGAGACAGAGCTCTCAGCAACGGGCAGGGGGAGGGTCATCTCCGTGCCAACGGCTCCGCCCACAACGCAGAGGCGAATTGCTAATGAGCTACTGCCGCTCTGCTGAAGCGAAGTCCCAGAAAACGGCACAGGTTTTGTGAGTTTGGCTAAAAATGGCATAATCATAATTTAAAGACCACTGGGAATGTTTACAAATAGCTCAAAATATGATCGGAGTGGGACTTTAAATAATCAGATTTTCAACAAGATTTTAGTCAAATGGATTCAAATCAGCATAAACCTGTTAAATCTAACCAGTGTGAAGAATGTGGCTGATTGGAACAAGCAAGATTCGATTAGTTAAGCATGTATGATTGAAAAAAATAGGATTTATTGCTGATAAATATACTGTGTGAACCAGGTTATTGTGCATCAAAAAAACATTCTGTTTATTAGTTATATTACATAAATCTCATTCTTACTTGACTTCTTTTATTTATGTATGACTGAAACATATGCATCACATTAATTTCATAAGTATTTGTTACAACAAAAACATTACATGCAATTAAAATACATAAATCTTAAATGTTTTTTTGGTTTTAGGCTATTGTTGTAGGTGATGCAGCCTTATATAAATATAAAATGATAGGTATACAGTGTGTGTGTGTGTGTGTGTGTGTGTGTGTGTGTGTGTGTGTGTGTGTGTGTGTGTGTGTGTGTAACATTAATATAATAAATGTCTGTAATAATATAAAAAGTTTTTTTTCTCAGTTAACATCTGGATTCACTCACACATGTGTGACACTACAAAAGTACGACGGGTTGTTTTCATGTTTCATGTTAACTTAAAAATACTTTAAAGCTGCTGTAGGTAACTTTTGAAAACATGTATTTGCTAAAACTGTCATTATGTCCTGACAGTAGAATATGAGACAGATAATCTGTGTAAAAATCAAGCTCCTCTGGCTCCTCCCAGTGGTCCTATTGCCATTTGCAAGAAATACACGCTCCCGGTCAGAAACAACCAATCAGAGCCAGGAGGAATGTCTTAGCAGTGTCAATCACGCTCGTGTCCGCGCTGATCACACCCCTCTCTTGCACAGCGCGAGCCGTCGTTCAAACTCAAGATTGCCGGTGAGCTGCAGCTGTGCTTATGACGGAGAAACAACCTAAACGGCCAATTCTCGAGTGACACCTGCTCATAAAACAAAGAGGTAAAAGGAAAAAGACCGATGACGATAAACAAGCGAAAAAGAAAGAATTACACAGAGCCCATTGACTCGGTGTCAAAGCTCTAGCCGCATAACATGTAGATGAAATGTCACGCACTCTGCAAGCAACAATTGAAACCTGCTAATTCACTGGCTTGTCATGTTGCTGAAATAATGTACTAGCACACCTTATCTACCATTATATATCGCTAGAATAATTACTTGCATACTGTAATGTTAGTTACCGTTATATTAACGTTATCTTTCTAGCTATTTATAACTTATAGAAAGAGTGCAACGTTATAAAGTTACATGTAGGCTATTGGAAAATACATAATGATTAGAGGAGCAAGTTTGTAGTCAAAGTATGGGCAGGCCATAGTCAATGTAAAGCATATTATTGACGTTTAGTCCCTATTAGTGAATGTTCCATATAACTTTTTATCCGCTGTTATCGATGGCTCTGTTTACTAGCCTTCGCATTCACGACGGGCTCCGCTGTGGAGGACGAGCTGTGGAGGGAGGAGCTGTGGGGGAGGAGCTGTGGAGGACGAGCTGTGGAGGGAGGGCTGTAGCGCAGCAGAGAGGAAGGGGGTCGGGACCTGGAAGTTGTGCTTGTTCAAATTTTCAGGCTAAGTCAACGTTTTCTCAAAACTCCCTACTGCAGCTTTAATATATTCTCCATAAAAAGCGACCTCAACGTGTATGAAATACAAAACTCTCCATCACACACACACACACACACACACACACACACACACACACACACACACAGTCAAAGTCACAAGCGTATGATACATATTTATGATTTTATACCTCTGGCCTTTGGGGACCAGATAAAGTCTTTCATCCATTTTTTATCCATTTCATTATTAATTCTTGCCCAAAGAGGGTGTGCAGTGTAGCAGGTGTGTGTGTGAGGTGTGTGTGTGTGAGGTGTGTGTGTCTCAGACTGTCAAATTGACTTTAGAGATCTGGAGAAGTGCAGTGGCTTCACTACGGCTCAGTCTGAACACCCGAGAGCGACCCAATCAAACGGGTTTTCAATGGCCATTATAATATTAGACACATACTGAACTATATTTATTTGATGCTAGAGCGTTCTTGACGTCTTTCCTAGATGTTTGGGGAGGTTTAAGACTGTAACTGACACATTTTTTAGGTTATAACACTTAAATGGACAAGGTTATATGAGGTTTATTGACTGATGCAGATCTCAAAATCACAAATTCTGCTTTCAAATCATGAATTAGAGATACTAATCAGCAATTAATGGAAATAAATAAATTAAGATCGCACACCGAGCTGAAGCATTAAGCCAGGTAAACCAGACTAAAGCAACAAAAGCTGCAGGTGATCTGGTGTCACGTCTGGATGGAGACTGATCTCCATCGCCTCAGGACACCGAGAATCAATGTAAGCGAGACTGACAGTGTTCACTGAAGCAGCTCGAGGCGTTTCTCAACACAGACGCACACAAAACACAGCACGCGCTTTTATAGGCCTTATCTCACTATTAGAACTGCCGTCAACAACCGGCCCTCGGGGCATCAGCGGAGCACAGGGTGTGTATCCAACACACACACACACACACATCACAAACCTGACAAAGAATAGTTTGTTCGCTGCTTTTACTTCATCTCAAGTTAATATTTTCCTGTCGAGATCTCAGTCAGGAATTCTGATGAATCTCTTTTCTCCAACCCAACATGCCTGAGGAGCTTACGGCTCCCTTGGTAGCGATCAATGAGGGCATTTTCTCATTAGTGAACAAGACTGAGCTTTTCAACATCATTACCATTCCCAGGGGAGCTTAAGTGACGAAACGGGAGGGCAAGTGAACACAAAAGAGTCTAAACTAGAGGAGGAAAGCAGCAGACGCTTTAGTGTGTACTTGCTGGCCTGCTGGGATACACAACACATCAAAACACTTATGAGACGCAGGGGTTTTTCCACGCAGTTAAACCTGTGCTGTGTTCAAAAATGGAAAATTAGCTTACTGCCTACTATTTATTTTAAATAATATGAATTGGTATGCATTACGCAATAGGCAATTCAAACAATAGTATGCTACACTGTTGCATGACCTCATTACATGCATTGTCCACTGCTGTCCTGTTATTGCCTTGGAATCAAAAAAAAAAAAATTTTTATAAAACGCAATGTAATGCAATGTATAATAAAAAAATAAAATAAAATAAAAAATATGTTTAAAATAAATAAATAAATAAAATAAATTAAATTAATTAAATTAATAAATTAAAGAAAAATGCAACAAGGTAAATATCAGTCAGTGCAGTAAAATAAAATAAAGTGCAATGCAATAGAATAAAATAAAGCAAAATGCAATGTAAAAACAAAGCAAATAGATATGCATGAAAATAAAATGCTTTAATGTAAAATAAATAAGTGCAATAAAACGCAATGCAATAACATGAAACAAATTACAATGCAATACAACAGACCGAAGCAAAATGCAATAATATGCAATAAAATGCAATAAAGTAGAAAGCAAACAGTGGCTTACCGAGACCTCAAAGACTTCCTGAGTGTCGTCCAGCATCTGGACCCGGATGGAGATCTGTCTGCCCGGAGGCATGGTGGGGGGGCGCTGGCCCGGCTCCAGTGTGCTGATGCCCAGGCTCTCAGGGGCCCCAAGCCTCTGCCCCGCCCCCGAGGGCCGCTCCTCTGGCTCCACCATCCTGCTGCAAACCCACCTGACAACAGAGAACATTTCAGCACTTAAATGAGGGCCAAAACGCTCCATAGGGGATAAACACAGACTCTGCACCACGGTTTGGTGATCACACATAGCTTTCCTTTTTTTATAGCTGGAATTTCAACCTCGTGCTGCCCTGGAAAATACCAAGGATGATTTATGATTCCTGAAATGTAGATTTCTGCTGTAAGTGTAAACTACTTGTGCTGCTATGGCAATTACTCACGCAAGTCTTGGCGTTAACTCTCGTTCTGTTTGGCTGCTAGTCATCCACATAAACACAGCTGTTAGTTATAACCCGCTCAACCACCACTGGTAAAGAACTGAACCTTACAAATGAACCTGACGGAAACAGGTCGGGCATATTTGTAAAGGCAAAGGTAAATGCAATTCAACAATGCAATAAAAAAAATGCATTTAAATAAAAAAACATTTTGTTTCACAGACCTACTTTGTGGTTAAGATCCCTGAATCTTGTTCAACTTTTGTCAAAATAAATAAATGGAGCACATTACAGTTTTTCGACAAATTCCGTCCGGATGTAAATGTTTGTGATTGCACTATATTACACTTGCATGACAAAAAAAAACACTTATGTTCGCTACAGTAATGCAATAATGATGAATTTCTATTTTGTAACAGAATGCAAGTTCAATATTTCACATTATGGACATATAAATACAATGAAAAGGACACCGATTCCAGTGGGAACATCCCATAGGAAACACGTGGATTCATTCAAACCCGACAAATCCTTATTACTGTTGTGACGGCTTAAATTCAAACAATAGGCCCACCGTCGTCTCTCACCACTGAAAAACACTGAGTTTATGGGTTTAGGAAATCATTAGGAAGGGTTTAGAGGCATTAAATCCAGGGATTTCTAGCCCTAAACAACCAGATCGCGCACTGAGACTCCAACATGCTGGATTATAAGCTTGTGCGCTTCAATAGAACACCAATTTAACCAGCGAAATGGGAAGATATGTATTGAAGCACCTGAAATTTTCATTAAAGATGCTAAATTCTTTCAACTAAGGTCCTAAAAACAGCTTTTTACTAGTTCTGTCCTCATGCTAACCCATCTTTCTAAGGAACTAAGAACTTCATGAAATGCAAATTTGTCCACTTACATCTAAACCCTCTTACGGATATCCTCTGAAATATTCAAAGCCTTTTAGAGGAATTCAGTGAAGGAGAAATGCATAACTGTGAACGAGTACATTTGAAGGGTCTAAATTATACAGAACTCAGCAGAATTAAAGTAAACGCCACAAAATAAGTCCAGTAATCAGAGCGCTGCCTCCTCGATCAGGAACCCATCCAGAGCTTCATTAAAACGCTTATTCGAAACATTTTTAATAGAGCATTTCTGTGGTCAGTACTCATGAACTGAAGATTTATAGTCTCTCCATCTTGGCAATTTGGCAAATGTTCTGACACTGGTGTTGTGGAGTTGTTTTCTGAATGCAAAAATGACTATAAACTATGATAATAAATGAGAAGATAACATTGTGATGAGTGTATGACATACGCACGGCACGCACACACACACACGTATAACTTCAAGGCATTTTTGACTAATTTCTTGCAAAAAAATTGAACAAATGTCCATAGATGACATGCTGTAGTTGTTAAAAAACAAAATATCTAGTATTTGTGGTGTAGGTGTTTATATTTTGCAACTTGTTATAGAATACTTACAGATCAACTATTACATTCATGATTGTATTTAACTGTGTCATGAATATCAAATTTTATTTATTTCTAAAAATCACTTAGAAATAAGTGAAAAAAGAAGAAGTTACTCCAAGAATCACAGATGGAAAATGGGCCAAACTGCAGCATTGAGGCTGACGACAGATGTGTGTGTGTGTGTGTGTGTGTGTGTGTGTGTGTGTGTGTGTGTGTGTGTGTGTGTGTGTGTGTGTGTGTGTGTGTGTCAAACAGAGATGAGAGAACATTGATCCGCGTGTGGCACTAAACAGCTTCTCCTGACAATGGAAAGGTTTTTTCACAGATACGACACTTTCAATTATTCTACACAGACGTCAGAAGAACAGCACAAGCGAACACGTACAGTAGTAGCGTATTCCTGTGTTCACTCGACACAGGGGATTTACATACGGGAAACAAACATGACAAGTGAAGAACGGCACTGATACATGACAAAGCAAAGGATCGTGATTCAAAGAGCATGCAAAAGACACGGATCTGGATTCAAACACACACACCATCTCATTCCTAAATGACAACCGTTCGTTTATGTCTGTTAAACCTTTGACAAATATGATCACAGCGAACATTAAATATATAAAGGTTTACAGTAAAAGTTTATTAAACATAAAAGTTCAAGTTCAGATATAAACACTGATGGTAGTGATCAAAATTAAGTAAATCACCATTTAAAAGTAACTTGACCCTTCAAATAAACATTGTATCAATTACATCATTACACCAGTAGGTGGCGACAAGTGACGGTTAAATATGTGTTCATTGAATCATTCAAGAGATTTGTGCAAAATACTGATTCATCCAGCAATGAAAAAAGTCTTTATTAATGAGTCATTGAATCATTTATTCAAGAGATTCGTTCAAAACACTGATTCATCCAGTAATGAAACAAGTGAAGTCTTTATGAGTGAGTCATTGAATCATTCAAGAGATATGTGCAAAACACTGATTCATCCAGTAATGAAACAAGTGAAGTCTTTATGAGTCATTGAATCATTTATTTAAGAGATTCGTTCAAAACACTGATTTCATCCAGTAATGAAACAAGCGAAGTCTTTATGAGTGAGTCATTGAATCATTCAAGAGATTTGTGCAAAATACTGATTCATCCAGCAATGAAACAAGTCTTTATTAATGAGTCATTGAATCATTTATTCAAGAGATTCGTTCAAAACACTGATTCATCCAGTAATGAAACAAGTGAAGTCTTTATGAGTGAGTCATTGAATCATTCAAGAGATATGTGCAAAACACTGATTCATCCAGTAATGAAACAAGTGAAGTCTTTATGAGTCATTGAATCATTTATTCAAGAGATTCGTTCAAAACACTGATTTCATCCAGTAATGAAACAAGCGAAGTCTTTATGAGTGAGTCATTGAATCATTCAAGAGATTTGTGCAAAATACTGATTCATCCAGCAATGAAACAAGTCTTTATTAATGAGTCATTGAATCATTTATTCAAGAGATTCGTTCAAAAACACTGATTCATCCACTAATGAAACAAGTCAATACATTTTAAAAAGAAAAAAATGATCCAAATTAAATAAATATATTTTAAATAGACTGCAGCAATTAATATTTTGTCAGAACCTCTAGTAAATTACATTATTTTGCCTACTCAGAATCGTGGGAGAATCGTGATCTCTATTTTAAATTGTGATTCTCAGTTTATCCTGAATATCGTGCAGCTGGAAAAATGGTGTAATGGTGGAAACAATACTCTCTTATAAATTATTATAAAGTAAATTTCACAAATAATTACAAAGAAATAACAAGTAACACATTGAATTCACTTGTAATAAAAAAAAAATATATATATTTTTTAGTTTTTAATAAAACAGTGTAACTAACCCACTATAAAAAGAAAAATATGGACAGGGCGACGCAAAGAGGACTAAACTTCAATACTCAGTGGTTTGTTCACGAACACTAACAGGAGCAGTAATGAACAAACACATTCCAGCACTGATTGAATCTCAGATCCAGACGCTGAAATCTGATTCTGTGCTCAGATGTGAGCTAGAGACGAGTCACGACAGGTTAACAAGCATCACACACACACACACACAGTCAGAAACCCCCCGACAGCACTGGAAGCTCCTCAACACACACACATCTGAGTGTATCCTGCGCTATCATGACACTGAACACAGTACATCCAGTGGATGAGGAGAGAGATGATCAATAGAGCTTATCAGACGTCCACAAGGCTTTATTCATCAAGGGAACGAGGGAGTGTGAGATGTTGTTCACTGTAACAAACACTTCCTGTGACGAAAATGCCATTTTAATATTGATTTCCATCTGCAGTTTGACATTTTGTTTGACAGAAAGGAGAGTGATATAGATGATGAAAGGAGATTATGCGTCTAATATTTAAAAAATTTAGGGTTAATATTATAACGTTACATAACTAACATAAAATCGTATAAAATATAAAAAATAACTTTACACAATTTACTTAAAACTAATAAAAAATTACTTTTACTCAGTTAACTAAAACTAATAGATATTTATTTATCTAAATAAGTAAATAGCTACATCATTATAAATATAAATAAAAAACATGTTTATTTATTTATTATTCAGATTAATACTAAATAAATCAAACAAAAAAAAATATTTAAAAACTTATTTTACAAAATGTACTTTTATAAAAATATGCGTTTATTAAAAAAATAAATAACGTAATAATAATAATAAATACAACTTATTTTACAAAACTTACTTTCTGAACACAGAATTGATTTAAAAAGAGTAATTATCCACTGACAAGTTAGTCAGTATATTATTAACCTCACACAATGGTAAGTTAGTTATACAAATACTGTAATTGGCCAAATATTGTCTGATTAATCTGATAAATCACTAACAACTACTGTTACTCAACCAAACAGGCAGTGTTGTAGTCGAGACCAGTTCACTCGAGTCCGAGTCGAGACCAGAGAGGGTGGATAACCTAAGGTTGGGTCTGAAACCAGACCTAAAGATATCTTCAAGAATATGTAAAATATTTGGTGGTAACAATAAAATTGGCACCATACTCAAACAGTAAATCAAAAATACCATGGAATCATACACTGTAATGGTAAAAAGGCCACATAGCGGTGTAAAGGTAATTTTATTAAAATTATGACTTACAATTATTACAATCAGTTAGTGCTCTTACACATAACATCACTGCACACGAATTCTGTGTGGCTCTTATATGCAAACTGAATTATGGATGATAAGGCAGACATTTTCAATACATAGTTGA